AAAGTAGGGGCTAGATTATGGAGATCACAGTATGTTGTTTGGGTTTTATTCAAAGCACAGTGGGAAAACCCTGGAGGATTTTAAGAAGGGAGTGGCATGAGCTGGGTTAAAAATGTAAAAGATCACTCTGGCTGTTCTTTGGAAAATGGATTGTAGGGATTTTTATTTTTCTGCAAAGGTCATTTGTTACAGGTGCCCATGTTTGGAGTAGAGTGAGCAACCTTCTCCTTTGACTTGCTCCCTGAGCATAAAATTCTGTCATTGACTCAACAAATAATGTCCTGAGCACTTGATCTTTGCAGGAATTGGAGAGGGCACTGGGGATGCAGAGATGAAGAAGACAATGGCCCTGGCCAGGTGCAGGGGCCGGGCCCAGGGAGGCCAAGGCGGGCAGATCACAAGGTCAGGAGTTCGAGACTAGCCTGGCCAGCATGGTGAAACCCTGTCTCTACTAAAAATAACAAAAATTAGCTGAGCATGGTGGCACACACCTGTAATCCCAGTTACTCGGGAGGCTGAGGCAGAATTGCTTGAACCTGGGAGGCAGAGGTTGTGGTGAGATGGCACCACTGCACTCCAGCCTGAGCAACAGAGCAAGATTATGCCAAAAAAAAAAAAAAAAAAAAAAAAAAAAGGAGAGAATGGCCCCTATGGGAAGCTTTGGCATGATTTTTGGTACAGAGGAGAGGCTCCTTACAGGATAGCTCCTACTCATTACTTTTGGTGGATTCTTGCTCCACCCCTTAAGGCTGAGGTGGGCAGATCACTTGAGGTCAGGAGTTTTGAGACCAGCCTGGCCAATGTGGTGAAACCTCATCTCTACTAAAAAAAACAAAAATTAGCCTGGCATGGTGGACGGCATCTGTAGTCCCAGCTACCCAGGAGCCTGAGGCTTGAGAACCGCTTGAACCCTGGAGGCAGAGGTTGCAGTGAGCCAAGATGGCACCACTGCACTCCAGCCTGGGTGACAGAGGGAGACTCTGACTCAAAAAAGGAAAGGGACAAGGAGGAAAAGAGTTGAAGAGGTGTTGGTCATTGGTGCTGTTGCCCTAGATCCCAGGGTAACCCTGGTAGTAATGCTTTTGGAAGTCAGTTTAGTAATTAATATTCAAAAAACATTAAAACTTTAACCCAGCAATTTTACTTGGAAAGAAAAGGTATGTGCACAGATTTGCCTAAAAGGGAACATTATGTAGGTGTGAAAAATAGTTATTGAAAATACTTATTGGTATGGAGAGTTTGAGAAATAGTAAATAAAAAAGATTAGACTGGAGTGAGCTGAAGATTTAAAAAATTTAAAAAAGAAAGGTGGTTACAAAGCTATATTACAGTGTGCTCCATTAAAAAATGTATGATTTAATTATGTACCCAACAGAAATGCATATACAGTCATGTGTCAGTTGACGATGGGATACATTCTGAAAAATGTGTCTCGGTGATTTTTTTGTTGTGTGAACATCATAGAGTGTATTTACACAATCCCAGGATGGTGTAGCTACTACACATCTGGCCTGTAGGGTCTAGACTATGGCTTGTAGGCCACAAACTTGTACAGTGTGTTATGCTGTACTGAATACAGTGGCTGCATTCCCAGTGTCCACTGGAATTCCTGCCATTACTGTAGGCAGTTGAAACACAATGATATGTATTCATGTATCTATCTAAACACAGGAAAGGTACAGCAAAAATACAGTGTTACAATTTTATGGGGACCACCTTTGTATTTCGCAATCTGCTGTTGACTGAGAAGTCATTACATGGTACATGACTGTATTTGTATACCAAAAATGTGAACAAGAATGTTCACAGCAGTATTATTTTTAATAGTCCAACTAGGAAACAACCCAAATATCCATCAATGGTGAAACTGATAAATGATAGTATATTCATACAATGGAATAGTCCACAGGAATGAAGATGAATGAACTGCAACTATATTCAGCAGTGTTCATGATTCTAACATTTTTTTTTTAAAAAAAAAACAGACACAAGCCAGGTGCGGTGGCTCACACCTGTAATCCCAGCACTTTGGGAGGCTGAGGCAGGTGGATCACCTGAAGTCAGGAGTTTGAGGCCAGCCTGGCCAACATGGTGAAAACCTGTCTCTATTAAAAATTCAAAAAAGTAGCCTGGTATGGTGGCATATGCCTGTAATCCCAGCTACTCAAGAGGCTGAGGCAGGAGGATTGCTTGAACCCGGGAGGCAGAGGTTGCAGTGAGCTGAGGTTGTGCCATTGCATTCCAGCCTGGGCAACAAGAGTTAAACTCCATCTCAAAAAAAACAAAACAAAACAAAAAACAGCCACAAAAGATTATGATTCCATTTATAAAAGTTCAGCAGGCAAAGTTGATCTATGTTATTAGAAGACAGGACAGTAGTTATTTATTTATTTTACCTTCATTTTTAAAAAATAGTGATAAAATACATGTAACAAAATCTGCTACTTTAAAGTGTACGACTCAGTGGCATTCAGCACATTCATAAGTTGTATAACCATTACCACTGTCTAGTTCCCAAACTTTTAGGTAGTCACCACCCCCTTTCCTCCCTCCTCCCATGGTGTTACTTTTGAAGAACAGAGAATGACTACTGGAAGGGTCATCATGGGGACTTCTGGATGTTAGTTATGTGTGTTTCTTTCTTTCTTCTTCTTTTTTTTTTAAATCTAAATGGTGGCCATATGGCTGTGTTTATGTTGTGAAAATTTATCTAGCTATACACTTGTATATACTTTGCTGTATGAAAGTTACATCTAAGTACATATAGATAAATTTGGAGGGGTGTGTATGTGAAATATATTTGCTAACACTGATCTTTTTCCTGGGAGGTAGGAGTATGAATCCATTTTATACTTACTATGTTTTGCTGACTTGTTTTCCAATTGGCATTCATGAATACATGTATTACTTTTGTAATAAAATTTTAAAATTTAAAACGTCTTTTTTTTTTTTTTGATGGAGCCTCACTCTGTTGCCCAGTGTGGGAGTGTAGTGGCGTGATCTTGGCTCACTGCAACTTCTGCCTCCCAGGTTAAAGCGGTTCTCCCTGCCTTAGCCTCCAGAGTAGCTGGGATTACAGGTGTGCACCACCACACCTGGCTAATGTTTGTATTGTATTTTTTAGTAGAGATCGGGTTTTGCCATGTTGGCCAGGCTGGTCTTGAATTTCTGACTTCAGGTGATTCTCCTGCCTTGGTCTCCCTAAGTGCTGGGATTACAGGTGTGAGCCACCACGCCCAGCCTAAAACGTCTTAAATAAAGGACAATGACATTGATTTTAAGCCTTCCCTGCCCCACTGCCTTTTTTTTTAGATAGGGTCTGGCTCTGTTGCCCAGGCTGGAGTTCAGTGACACTGCAACCTCCACCTTTTGGGCTCATGCTATCTTCCCTCCTCAGCCTCCTAAGTAGCTGGGACTACAGGCACATGCCACCACACCTGGCTATTTTTTTTTTTTTTTAATTTTTTGTAGAAACAGGGTTTCACCATGTTGCCTAGGCTGATCTTGAGCTTTTCAGCTCAATTCATCCACCTGCCTCAGCCTCCCAAAGTGCTGGGATTACAGGTGTGAGCCACTGCATTCTGCCAATTTTAAGCCTTTCAAGAGAAAACATTCCTTGTCATCAGGGGCAATGGGAGTGTCTCACCAAAACTTTGCCCAATTACTATTTAGCCTCAGGATTGATACATCTACATCGTTCATCCCCCTCTGTGGTTCTGGATCTGTCCACTCTTTCTGGCTTCCTTTCTTCTTGGTGGGTGTGGGAGGAGTACCTGCAGTAGAGATGAGGAAGGTGTTCCAGACTCCTTGGACACTGGGTGGTTGTGCTCAGAAGACTCGCTCCTTGCCAGGCTGGAAGTAAACTTGAAGCAAAAGCTGGGAGATTTGAGAAGAGAAGGTAGACAGGCTTGGCAGTTGCATCAGGGGAAGCCAGAGGCTTTTAGCAAGCAAGTGACCCCCCAGTGTCTCATCCTATAAACAAGCAACCATTACAGAGATTTTTGAATGAGAAGACTTTCACAGCCTTCCTCAATCATTCTGCATCCGCCAAAAACTCCCTGTATCTCTGAAGAGTTTGTAACACCTGACTGAGAGCAGTGGCTCATGCCTGTAATCTCAGCACTTTGGGAGGCTGAGGCAGGTGGATTACCTGAGGTTATGAGTTCGAGACCAGCCTGACCAACATGGTGAAACCCTGTCTCTATTAAAATACAAAAAATTAGCTGGGCATAGTGGTGTGCACCTGTAGTCCCAGCTACTGGGGAGGCTCAGAGAGGAGAACTGCTTCAACTTGGGTGGCAGAGGTTGCAGTGAGCCGAGATTGCGCCACTGCACTCCAGCCTGAATGACCGAGTGAGACTCCCTCTCAGGAAAAAGAAAAAAGAAATAGATAAAGAAAGTGACAACAAATGGGTTAAGAGTTCAGGATTCTCATCTTTGGTCTCCTTTGTGTTAGCTTCCCTCTTGGTCAGGCCTCTGTAAGTGCTCCCTGATCTCCCTAGTCACACAGAAGCCGACAGCTTGAGTCAAGAGAAAGGGGGTGAGGAAGGCCAATGGACAGGGGGTGCTTTTCTTTCCACTCTTACCCTCAAAGTTACCTTCCTTGCAGGCAAGTCTAGACCTCCTGAGGTAGAATAGATCCTCAGTGTGGGGGGGGGGGAAGGAAGCTTAGCCTTTTAGGGACTTTAGGGAGGCAGAGAAGGGGACAAGTGAGGGGACTGTTCCAAGACTCCAAAGCCGTTTGCTTTCTTAAAAATAGCAAACCCACAGCTCCCTATCTTTGTCGCTAAGAGCCTAAATGCATTTTCTCTGCTGTATCCTCAGCCTACCTGGGGAGCAGGATTATTTGGGTTTGGTAAGAGAAAAAAGGAGGGCAGCAATCCCGGAAACGCCTCCTGTCTCCCACCTCTTGTTCTGGCCCTCTGGCCCTCAGTAGTAAGTAGGCCCTGACCTACTTGTCTTACTCCTGCTGCTTCTTCCCCCCACCCCGGGCCTCCCGCCCCTTCTCCGACCCCGCTCCAGGTCTTGCCCGAACTTCAGGGCTTCAGAACTCCTCCACCGTCCCGTGGAGAGACAGCCCTTCTACCTGACGCATGCCCTACCCGGGAAGAACCAATCGAAGACTATCCCACCCAGGGACCCCCCTTTTTTTTCTGGGACCCAGCGTTTCCGCCTCCGGGGCGCAGACTCCTCCCCCTAACCGTCCCAATTGTAATCCCTGGAAGAGCAGCCGGAAAAGCCTCCGCCTTCTCAGACCGGGATAGACGAGAAGCTGCTTTCTCCTCGCAGCCGGCTCCCTGAGCCCCAGGAACCGCCGCGGCGGTCGGCACCACCTGGGCCCAGCTCCAGGCGGGCGCGGCTTCAGCACCACGGACAGCGCCCCGCCCGCGGCCCTCCTGCCCGCGGCGCGCTCCAGCCAGTGTAAGCGAGGCAGAGAGCTATGCCCGCGGCATGGCCCGGCGCTGCGGCCCCGTGGCACTGCTCCTCGGCTTCGGCCTCCTCCAACTGTGCTCAGGTAAGGGAAAGACTGGCACTGGCCAGGTTCTCCTACCCCAGCCAACGGCCCAAGACTCGCCGCGTTCTGACTCACCCTTGCCAGGCCGGAAGGTGGAAGGAGGAATTCCCTAGAGGTGGGGGAGTCTGCTGGGGGGTTGGGGAAACCTCCCGGGGCTACAAGAGCACCTGGGAGACTGGACTGGGACGAGGACATACCTGAAGGAGTAAGTGAAGCAAGCAAGAGATGGAAACCTGGCCAGCGGTGGTAGAGAGGGTGCAGGCACCGAGAGAAAGGAGGCAGGGGGTCTCTTCAGGCTTTCTGGGCTGGCAGATGGGCCGGCTCTGAGGGCCCTAAGATGCCATCTGACTTTTTGTGAAACATTATCTCAAGAAAGGTACCTGGTCCAGCACCCCTGCCTAGGCTCCTCATAGTTTCCCATCCCCCACATTGGTCTCCAGATTCTGGTCACCCCACAGGGGCTGAGAAGGGGAGAGAACGGAACGGACTTTTCAACCCTCTTGTAGGGTGGGACTGGAGGCTTGGAAGGGAAGAAGCTCTGCCAGGCTGAAGATTAGGAAGGAATTCTCTGAGGGGGTAGGGAGGGGTGTGTTCCTGCAGAGTTGCAGAGGGGGATGGGTATGTGGAGGGTTGTGCAAAGGGGATGCACAACCGACTGAGCTTCCACACCTACAGGCCATCTCTGGGGGTGGGCTGCTGTGTGTGTGAAACCTGGGGCTAGATATATGCCTGACCCACAGCTTAGGCAACCCAGCTATTCCACTCCAACCCAGTGCCTTTAGGGAGAGGGAGGGATGGTGTCGTAACCACAGTCACGTGTCATTATGTGAGGCGCATAATGTCATTTGCACACATAAATGGTGAACAGGAACAGTTGTGTCCCACCATACACACCCTTTCTCCTCAATCAGTAGAAGAAAGGGTATGTGTGATGGAACACAAATAACTGTTCCCCTTCACCGCCCTGCCAAACCTCCCTTGAGTCATAGGTATTTGCTGGGGAAGCCATGGAAGCAGAAATGTCAAAGTGCCCTCTGAGACCCTGGGGGAAGAGCAGGTCTCCATGAATCCTTGCAGAGCACGTTCTTAGTCTGTGGGACTGTCTGGACTCCTTGGTCAGTGGTTTCAGAGAGGGGCTTTTCTATGAAGATGTTAATTTGGGGACTTCCTGAGGTTAATCTAAGCATTTTGCAGTATCCTTAGGGATGTAGGCAGATAGTGGTTGGGCCTGGATTGCCGCATTTGCCTGGGGAGGGTGGGATGCTGGGTAGGCCCTCCTTGCCTAACTTTCTTCCTGCCTTTCCCCTGCCCAGGGGTGTGGGGTACTGACACAGAGGAGCGGCTGGTGGAGCATCTCCTTGATCCTTCCCGCTACAACAAGCTTATCCGCCCAGCCACCAATGGCTCTGAGCTGGTGACAGTACAGCTCATGGTGTCACTGGCCCAGCTCATCAGTGTGGTGAGTGGGGGTGCCAGACTGTCTGCCCAGCTACTGAAGTCAGCCCCGACAACATGTGTTAACACTTGTATGCTTCCTCCTCTGGTGTTTCCAAGCTTGGGGAGGTGTGAGAGGGACGCTGGGTGGTGGCAGTGAGCCCACAGGCTGAGGGGCTTTCTCGGCAGCCTCTCTTCCTCCCTGCAGCATGAGCGGGAGCAGATCATGACCACCAATGTCTGGCTGACCCAGGTAAGCATAAGTGCTCTCTTCCACCCACATCCCTGCCTTCTCTTTCCTCCTTTTTCCCCATGTGCTTCTTTCTTAATCTCCTCAAAAGAGGCAGAAAGGTATAGAGTTTGGAGTCCTAAATAATTGGATTTGAATCTTGGCACTCACCAGCTGTGTGACCTTAAACATGTTAAACTCTCCAGGATTCCTTTTCTCATTTGTAAATGTAAATTCTTATACAGTACCTTGGCCTAGCTGTGCAAATTAAATGAGAAAGTACCGTATGAGCCACACTTGATGGGCAGAAAAGTCACTGTGGGAAGAGCCTGGCTTTTAAAAGCTCCCTCAAGCCATATGGACCCCCTCCTGTCAGTTTCCTTAACCTTGAGCCCCTCCCAGGGCAGAAATTGTTACTGCCTCCCTCTCTCATTTCCTAGGAGTGGGAAGATTATCGCCTCACCTGGAAGCCTGAGGAGTTTGACAATATGAAGAAAGTTCGGCTCCCTTCCAAACACATCTGGCTCCCAGATGTGGTCCTGTACAACAAGTAGGAGTAAAGGGAAGGTTGGGGAAGACCACCGGAGGGTTCGGGGGGGGAAGGGGTTATGGGGGAAATAAGAGAAATTCACTTATGCTGTGGGAGGGAAGGGACTTATAATAGACAGATAAGCAGTCACTACCTAGACAGACAGATGCAGACCAGTGAGGTACTGTGTGGACAGCCAAGGTGACTTGGGCCATGACTAGCCCACTCCCAGCCAGTTAGGACTCCCAGTATGTACTTGGTAATGTGGTGGGGATGCAGACAAGTATTGACAGCCCCCAGCGCCTCCACTGATTCAGGAACGGGCTTTCCTAGAAGCCTGGAAAGGACCAAAAAACTTTAAGGTCCCAGTTTCTCCTCCAGGTTCTATCCTGCCTCCTGCAATAGTCCATCTCATCTCTAAGGTACAAAGCCACCTTCCTCAACTGATGGGACCATGCCCTGTCCCCTTCCATTGCTTGGGGCCCCTCACTCTGGCCTCCCTGTCTCCCCCAACTTCTCTACCCTCATGAGGATCAACCAGCTTACACAATGTGTGACAAGTAGCAGATGTGTCCCCTCTCTCCACCCACCACCCCCTACTACCTGTGAGGGGTCACATGGGCCTTCTGACTAGGACACTTCTGGTCCCCAACTCCCTCCTCCCCCATATCGCCTTCTTGCTCAATTCCTGCTCCACCTCTCTATACTTCTGGTTACTCTCAGACCTGGGTTTCCCCTCCCCATGTCTCCCTTTGGTTTTGGAGCTGGGTTGATGGGTGTGGAGGAAGGAACGCTTAGACCAGGACTGACTGTGCCCATCCCTTGGCAGTGCTGATGGCATGTACGAGGTGTCCTTCTATTCCAATGCCGTGGTCTCCTATGACGGCAGCATCTTCTGGCTGCCGCCTGCCATCTACAAGAGCGCATGCAAGATTGAAGTAAAGCACTTCCCATTTGACCAGCAGAACTGCACCATGAAGTTCCGTTCGTGGACCTATGACCGCACGGAGATCGACCTCGTGCTCAAGAGTGATGTGGCCAGCCTGGACGACTTCACGCCTAGTGGTGAGTGGGACATCGTGGCGCTGCCGGGCCGGCGCAACGAGAACCCAGACGACTCCACGTATGTGGACATCACGTATGACTTCATCATTCGCCGCAAGCCACTCTTCTACACCATCAACCTCATCATCCCCTGCGTGCTCATCACCTCGCTGGCCATCCTCGTCTTCTACCTGCCGTCCGACTGCGGCGAGAAGATGACGCTGTGCATCTCCGTGCTGCTGGCGCTCACCGTCTTCCTGCTGCTCATCTCCAAGATCGTGCCGCCCACCTCCCTCGACGTGCCGCTCGTCGGCAAGTACCTCATGTTCACCATGGTGCTTGTCACCTTCTCCATCGTCACCAGCGTGTGCGTGCTCAACGTGCACCACCGCTCGCCCACCACGCACACCATGGCGCCCTGGGTGAAGGTCGTCTTCCTGGAGAAGCTGCCCGCGCTGCTCTTCATGCAGCAGCCGCGCCACCATTGCGCCCGCCAGCGCCTGCGCCTGCGGCGACGCCAGCGTGAGCGCGAGGGCGCCGGAGCCCTCTTCTTCCGCGAAGCCCCCGGGGCCGACTCCTGCACATGCTTCGTCAACCGCGCGTCGGTGCAGGGCTTGGCCGGGGCCTTTGGGGCTGAGCCTGCACTGGTAGGGGGCCCGGGGCGCTCCGGAGGGCCGTGTGGCTGCGGCCTCCAGGAGGCGGTGGACGGCGTGCGCTTCATCGCGGACCACATGCGGAGCGAGGACAACGACCAGAGCGTGAGTGCCGCGGGCTGGGCCCCTGGGCGTGAGAAACTTGGTCTGCCAGGGCCCGGGTATCTGGAAAGCAGCCGCGTTTCGTAGCCATGCAGAGCTAGAAGGAGTGCAGGAGAGGGAAATGTGAGTCAGGCCTGTGTTGTGGGCCTGGGCGCTGGCTAGGGCCCTTCTGGGTTGGCTTCCGGGAGATGACGCGGCCTAAACTGTAGTCGGTAGAGGATGACCTTGTGGCTCCCTGAGGTCTAGCATCCAGGGCAAAATGCCTGAGCTGGGGCATCCTTATACGGGCGGGAAGGCCTGAAACACGAGGAGGTCTTTTAGGGTTGGCAGCCAGCCTGTGGCCGTGACCCCGAGAGTCCCTCCCTGCTGCTTGCATGCCCACATCCACGTTGTTAACCTGCAATTCTTAACACAAGTGGAGATGAGTCCTGTGCACCCCACGGGCAGGAGGGGGCAAAATTGAGGACAGTAGGAGTGTGTGTGTGTGTGTGTGTGTGTGTGTGTGTGTGTGTGTGTGTGTCAGGGGAGGGGTGGTGTTGGTGGTGGGGTTAGGGAGTCCAGGAGCCTGCTTGTGGCGGAAAGGTTGGAGTCCAAATCAATATCCCTGCTTTTCTGTGTCCCAGGGGATGGCCTTCTGAAATATTTATGGAGATGGGGGTGGGTGCAGGAGAGGGCTCCTTGGCCCCTTCCCCAGGCTTTCTGCACACCCGGATTTTGGCTTCTTCTACAGAGTTCCCTGAGAGCTTCCTTGAGACTGAGCCAAGAGTTGGGGGGAGATATGATAGGTTGACATCCCCCCTACTTTGGGCGGGGGCTTGCCCCACCCTGTGGTCAGTTTCTGGCTACCTGGCTAGTTCCAGGGTGAGGCTCAGCTGTTGCCATGGTGACTGGCCAGGTTTCCTCTGGGACAGCTGCCGTTCCAGCTGGGGGATGAGGAAGGGCACTGCAGTGTGGGCTTCAGAGATCTGTTTCTCTGGACAGCAGATCAGCTGGAGCTGAAGCTTGGGCCAGGGAGCATCATACAGTCTGGATGGAAGAAGAGGTGGGCAAACACTGGAGGAGATGGGGCAGGAACCTTAGAGCCAGCTGAGGCCAAGTGGGAGATGCAGGGACTCAGCAGGCTGCCGTTACCGCCTCCGCCTCTCCTGCTGCAGTCACGCATGTATTGTGCATTTACTGAGCTGGGTGCTGAGGATGCGGTGACCTACTTGGATGCTTCACAGGCACCTCAAACTCACCATGTTCAAAACCGAGTGCTTGGTCTACATCCTCACCACCAACTTGCTCCTCCACCAACTTTTAGTATACGGCATCACTCTTCACTCAGTGGTTCACACTGAAACCCGGAGTGGTCCTTGACCCTGTGCTTTCTCACCTCCTTCTCTGTCCAAGTCATCAGAAATCCTGTCCTGTCATAACCTCGGCTTGATCCTTTTTTCAGCATCTTGATGCTAACCCTCGTTCTAGGACACCATCTGCTCTTGCCTGGTCTAGGACAGAAGAGTCTCCTAGTAGTCTCCCTGACTCAGCTCCTATGCTCCTGCCTCCAAATAGACACCATCTTCCTCTCAGCGCGTGCCTTTCCCTCCTTGCTCAGGTCACTGGCTTATCTTGTCTTAAGCAAGCGAAGCTCTTTCGTGGCTTCAGGACCTTTGCACATATGGGTCCCTCTGCTTGGGATGCCCTGCTCTTCTTCTTTTAAAAAATTATTACTATTATTAACTTGCACTCTACTATTTGAGAGTAAGTTGTAGATACTGTGATCCTTTATCCCAAATAATTCAGTGTGTCTCTCCTAAGAACAGGGACACTCTCTTGCATAACCCAGGTTTGGTGGTCGACTTCTGAAAGTTTAGCATCAATATCTTTATCTCATATACATTCCACATTTGAATTTTTCCAGTCGTCCCAGTGATGTCCTTCGTAGCATCACCCTCGACCCGCATCCTCGTCCAGGATCTCGAATTGCATTTAGTTGTCGTGTCTCTAGTTTCCTTCCATCAGGAGCAGTTCCTCCGCTTTGTCTGTCATGGCATTAACGGTTTTAAAGGGTCCAGGTCAGCTGAATGTCTCTCCTTTCGGGTTTGTCTGATTGTTTCTTTCTTCAACTTTTTCCTCACGCAGCTGGTTCCCTCTCACTCATCAGACCTTAGCTTAAATATCACCTCCCCTAAAAGGCTTTCCCAGACCACACTCCAAATGACAGCGCCTCCTCTTCTTCATCACAGTGCTTCGTTTCCCAGTGTGTAATTTTAAAATTTGCGCTTATTTTTGCTCTGCCCCTCCCTCAGTAGACTGTAAACCACTGGATGCGTGTCTGTTGCTCATTTGCATCCCCAGTGTGTAGCATGGTGCCAGGTATATAACAGGCACAGCTGCCTCACGAATGGGTTCTTCAGCTGCTGACTAAATAAAGATGCTCAGTGACTGTCTCTCCACCCCCTGAGCTGGCCGGGTTCCAGATAAACACGTGCATAAAGGCCCAGACTCAGGCTGGAGAGGAGCAGCTCGGAGGAGACGCTGGCCCATTGTGCAAGCCGTGTGACTGGCTCTCAGACCCACAGACAGGATTATCTTTTGACTGATGCGTTCACATCTGGGACCTGGTCCTTACCCTCTGGGGACTGTGGTGTGGTTGGATGGGGCTCAGCGTGTGATCATAAACAGAGCCAGGCCTGCTGAGGCAGCCATTTACTCAACGCTCTGTGTTCCAGATGTTGAGATTCAAAAGATGAATCGGGGTCCTTGTTGTTTGGGAGCCTGTAGCTTAGTAGGGGGACAGGCACACAAATGAAAACAATGCAGTACAGTAAAAATACTGGGATGGACATGTGTACACAGTGCAGAGGGAACCCAGAGCGGACAGTGGTTCATGCTGATCTGGGGGTCGAGGCAGCCCTCGGAGAAGGTGATGTTTGATTTGGGCTTTGAAGGATATGTAGGAGTGTACCAGGTAGAGAAAGGGAGCTCAGGATTTCTGGACACAGAGGAAACCCAAAGGCACAGAGGCATGGGAGGTGACACTGGGGTTTGGTAAGGCCATGTTACGGGGTGGGAGGAGGAGGAGATAGGCTCGTATTTGTCATGGGTGGGTCTTGATTCCAGACTTGGAAGTTTGGATGGGCCCTGAAGGCGGTGGGAGGGCCACTGGAGGCTTTTGCTAAGATCAGAGCCATGCTTTAGCAAGGCCATTCTGGGATCACTGTGGGGAGGAATGGGGTGTGCGTCTGTGTGGCGGGACCTGCTTATACTCGTTTGCCTCCCATCCTGCATCACGTGACCTGGGCCTCCTCCGTCTCCTCCATCCAGGTGAGTGAGGACTGGAAGTATGTCGCCATGGTGATCGACCGCCTCTTCCTCTGGATCTTTGTCTTTGTCTGTGTCTTTGGCACCATTGGCATGTTCCTGCAGCCTCTCTTCCAGAACTACACCAGCACCACCTTCCTCCACTCAGACCACTCAGCTCCCAGCTCCAAGTGAGGCCTTCCTCGTCTCCGTGCCCCCTCACCCCGCCACGCTCAGTTGCACAGTGGGGTTGGGTGGAGGACGGACGAGTGAGCTACCAGGAAGAGGGGCGCTGCCCCCACAGATCCATCCTTCTGCTTCATCTGGAGCCCCTCCTCCCCCACACCTCCATCCACACACAGCAGCTCCAACCTGGAGGCTGGGACCAGCTGCTTTCTGTTTTGGCTGCTCTCTCTTCTTGTACCAGCCCAGGCAACAGTGTTGATGGGGGAACATGCCTGCTGAGAAGCGGAAGACAGAGATGGCACAGCCATCCAGCCTGAGGAGTGATGGGCAAGGGGCCAGGAAGGGGCCAGGATCGTCTGCTGCCTCCAAGTCTTGGGAGAAGAGCAGTATAGGATGAGGGGTGACGAGCAGGCGCTCAGACCGCACCAGGCTGGCCTGACACGATGGTGGCTTGGAAGGGAGGGGAAGAGGAGATAGGCCCCCATGTGACCTGACACCTACTGCTGCTTGAGTGGACAGCAGCTGGACTGAGTGGGCCCCACAGCAGTTCAGGAAGCCTTCAGCGGTTCCTGCCTAGTGAGTTTAGCCTGGCCCCGCAGTCACAGACCCCTGGGGGAGGCTTCCAGCTCAATCCCACAGCCCCTTGCTTCTAAGGGGTCCAGAGAACTTCCCCAGATCCTCTTTACCCACTGGAAAATTCTGTACCTTCTAGACTTGCCTCTCCTTTCTTCTTAGGCTCAAGGTGTGTTGGGTAAGGCTGAGTATTAGGGGAGCTTCTGAGTTCTGAATCTTTGAGTGACCTGCTTGGAGTCTCAGGTCCAAATACTTGAACTCTGTGTGAAGTGCAAATTCATGGGCTTTTGGAACTGGAAGAACTTTGTACAGCCATGGATTCCAAAATGAGCCATGTTGGAGATGAAGAAACAGACCCACACGGTGAGACAAGCCCAGGTGGGTCCCTGGCCCTTCCTCCCTGCTCTGAGATCCATCTGTCCAGTGCTCTGTTTTTTCCCCACTTTGAACTGACTGGTTACTCGAAGGAAATGAACGAAGGATGTTAGCTTTAAGCCGATCCAGCCTTTGACCATAGCAGAGGTGAGGCGAACGGCTGGAGCTCTGCTACATCTGGGCCGTTCCACCCTGTCCTGTCTGTGGCTCCATCCTTCTGGCTGTCACCCTTCCTCTTCCCCCTCGCAACCAAACCTGAGCAGCTTTGAAGCAGAACCTGGAAAGGACAGGTCTGCTGCTGCCAGTGACTCCTCAGAAAGCACAGCCTCAGCTTCCTGTCCCATGTGTCCCTGGAAGCTGTACCCTGACTCTGCTCCCAGAGGCCAGCTGGAGGCCACTTGGCAGGATAGCCCAGGGAACAGACCTCTTAAGGGATCTCCTGTTTGCTTGTGGTACCAGCCTGGGCTCAATGCTGGGCCAGCAGATGGTGGGTTACAGAGGGGTCAGCCTGCCAAGTGCACCTGAGGGGCCTGACCTGACACAAGCCATTTTGTCCCTAGATCCCAGCTGGGACTCCTGCTCCTCTAGGCATGGCAGAGGTGGAGGAGACAGCACAGGCACAGAGTACAGGACAGGGACCCCAGAGTCTGGATTCAAGTCCCGGCTCTGCTAGTAACTCACCTGAGCCAGCTTGAGCAAGTCCCTTCACCTTGCTGAGCTTCCTTGCCTGTGAAACGTGGGTGGTAATGCCCCCTTCGTGAGGTTGCTGTGAGCACAAGGCAGTGCCTGTGAAAAGCCCAGCGCCGTACCTGCTGCAGAGTAGATGCTTCACGAATGCTGAGTCTGAGAGGCACTGGAGCTGGTGAGAATGGGGTCGCCTGACTGTCATGCCAGCCTCCCTTCCAGGCCCACTCTTCCCCTCTCTTCCCTGAGGAAAGCAAGCCTCCCTTATCAGGAAGAACTGGGGGAGCTGAGAGGAACATTACAGGGGACGCCCGAGGGAATCCCCTGGGTGGGCAGGCTTCTCTCTGGAGCCCCCTCGGCAGTTTTATTCCATTCCTGGGCTGAATCCTTACCCTGGCCCGACCTCCCTTCTGGGAGGTCGCCTTCTGGGTCAGCACCTCCGGACACAGAGCCTCCCTATGTGCTCAGGGACCCCGGGCTCTAGTCAGTTACTGGCTGTGGAAGGACATCATTGCGACAGGAAGCCAGCAGCTGCAGGAGACAGGCCTCAGCGCATTTCCCCTTCTGCCAGGATGGGCTCACGGACATCTTTTCTTGGTAGCAGGGAGAGTGTCTGCACCATGGAAACTTCCCCTCTTCTAGAGCAGATTGGAAGTTGCCTGTATTATGCCTGAACCCTCCTCAAACCCATGGTCCTGGAGAAAGCGTCTTGGAACCAGAAACAGCAACAGGAAAGGAGCCTCCCTCTGAAGGGTAGGATGTCGCCTGAGGCCCTCCCTCTTGGCTCTCCCAGGGCCTGGGCTACCCGGAGGCCCCAGCAGCCGCTGCTGTGGCTGCACTTGCTTTTAATATTTCCCATACGTGGCTGTTGTCCAAGTTAAGTCACTAAATGGTGCTGGGGCGATGGCAGAGAGCAGCTTGTCCAGCTCCTCAATGACCTGGTTAACATACAAGGAGACTGAGGCCTGGAGGTTGTCTGCTGTTTGAACTCTTATAAGAACTGGCTGTCCTGCATCTACACAATGAAGATGACAGACCTAGCTGAGATCTTCAGTAAGAAAGGGTCAATGTACACGAAAGGGTTACCTGGGCAGTGTCATACCTTCCATCTCTGTATGCAGCCCTTTGGGGACCATCACAGTAAGAAGTGAGGGCAGAGGTGAAGGAAAGGGGGCTCCACTGCCCAGGCAAGGTGTTACCACGTGTTGAGACAGTGTGAACCCTCAAGTGCTTTGGGGGAACCACAGTCTCTTCCACTCTTGGGTCCTGCATTCTCAGGGAAGCTCCCATGCCTCCTTTCCGTGGTGGGGCTGTATCTGCTGTATCTGCAGAGAATTGGGTGCCCAGCATTGAGCAAGGACTGGAGGAAGCTCCAGGTCTGGAGGAGGAGGCAGAGAGACTGGGTGGAAACCTGCAGCAAGGGTGTGGGAGTGGGAAGTGAGGAAACGATGGGGTCATCTCCGTCACAGACGGCAAGGCCACAGGTGATCTGAGAACTATTTTTGTCTGAAAAGAAGGCATGCACAGGCTCTCTGCTTTTGACAGGCGGTGTTGCAGTGGGAGGAAGGCAGCTTCCTGGCAGCGAGGTACAAATACTAGAACAGCTGGTACCAAGTTATTGAAAATGCAAGAGCAAACAAGACACAGCAGCCCCAGGTGGTGTGTTCTGCCGAGGAAGGCTACGGCAGAGGAAGGGCAAGCCCATTTCCTAATGGTCCTGAAGCCGGCGGAAGAGGAAACAGGGAGGGCTCTTTGGGTGATGTGGCGGCCTTGGGCTGTCTGTATCCCAGTGTTAGCTTCCGTTACTAAGGGTCTGCCCCGCGCCAGGTCCTCAGCATGCGCTCTTTATTCCTCACGATAATCCTAGGGGAAGGGGCCTCCATTTACACAACAGAAATGCAGCTCAGAGAGACCAAATGACAGCTCGTGAGTAGTGCTGGGCCTGAACCCCAAATGCCAGGCCTGAACCCCAAATGCCAGGCCTGAACCCCAAAGTCCACACTCTTGCTGTAGCTGCCGAGGCAGGCAGGAGAGCTCCTCGGGAGGAAAGTGAGGGGCATTCAGGGCCTTCTCTGAATCACTCCCCAAGCCAGAGTAGACCCGGTTCCCGCTGTCCCTGTTTCCAGGCACAGTCAGGCGGGTGTTGTAGCCTCCCTCCCAGCCCAACCAGTGCTGGCCAGACTCCCACCCACCGACCTTGACTAGACAGAGGACAAACAGCCACCTTTTAGTCTTCATCCCAACAGGTCCAGGCAGTCAGTGTGACAGCCACACGGTTCCTAAGGGACTGTAGGTCTAGGAATCGGTAGACGCTCCCTCAGCCACGTCGGTGCCCTCATCTTCCCCACACCGCCCTTGGCCTCCCCTGTCTGCTCTCCTGGAGTATTTGCACTGGTCTAGTCCACTGCAGGTTGCACTCATTAGGAACTCAAGATTCTCGTAAAGAAAGTTGTTTCCAAAGTTGTCTTGTCACTCTGTTATATTTGGGGGTTGGGGAAGAGCCCTCATGGGCCAGTGTTGGCAAATACAGGAAAAAGGGAGAATGCTGGAGAAGCTGGATTTGGGAGAGGTTAAAGACATTACAAGAATCCAAAGAAAAGGTGAGCGGTGACAAAAGTCTGTTGAGTTACTGTGATTTGCTGCTTTACAAATCCACTCATCAGATGGAAAAGAAATGGCCAAATGACTGGGCCTGGAGCAGGCAGAGTCCAGAAATGGCCCCTGGGGAGTCCTTTGTAAACGACGGGGCGGAGGTGAGGACCAGTCTCCTGGAGGCGGGATTGCTGGGGTTTCCTCTCATAGCGCCTGTGCTCTGGGAAGTCAAGGCTGCAGTTTGCATAAGGCCAGATGTGCAGATCTGGGCTCACCTCCTGGAAACAGGATTAAATTGTGAGCCCCCTAAATGAAATGCAAGTGGACAGCAACTGAAATGAGCTGAAGAAAAAAATCCCTCTTGCGCTCCCACAGGGCAGCCCTACTTCCCAGCCCACTCAGGGAGAGTCGTGGGAGGACAGTGTTGTTCCCTTTGGAGACGGGGGCTGGGCACTTGCCTCAGGCTTTAAGGAAACCGTCCACTTTCTAAAAGACCTGGCACCACATTTCCCTCCATCTGGAACCAGGAGCTGTCTGAGAACAGAGAGGACAGAGGCACTTGAGAGTCCTGCTACATCACAGCAGGCAGAGACAACAGCCTTCACTGTCTTTCAATTTCTAACTGTTGGCCGGTACTGTGGCTCACGCCTGTAATCCCACACTGTGGGAGGCTGAGACAGGTAGATCACCAGAGGTCAGAAGTAGGAGACCCGCCTGGCCAACACGGTATACAAAATATCAGCCAGGCGTGGTGGCGGGTGCCTGTAATCCCAGCTATTTGGGAGGCTGAGGCAGGAGAATCGCTTGAACCTGGGAGGCAGAGGTTGCAGTGAGCCAAGATCGCACCATTGCACTCTAGCCTGGGCGACACGAGTGAGACTTGGTCTCAAAAAAACAAAAAACAAAAGCTGTTCAGCTCACCCAGCAATGTATTTCAGCACATGATGATTGACACCTGTGGTGTTCTGGTCCTTAAGAAATATGTTCACGTGTCACTGGCCCTTCTGGCCTCATGTTCCTTCTGTGTAATGGATGAGGCAGGTTTCATTGGGACTTAGTCTCGGGATTAAGTGCTTTAGGTCCTCTGGTATGATATTTTTAAAAGGTCTAGGATGAGTCTTCTAGAAATTCTGAAGTAAGTTTCAATGTGAAAAAGGTACATTCTCTTTCAAATTCAAGGAGATATTTTGGATGTCACCTATGATGTAAAATGAAAATGGTGTATCTCCTGACTGCAGCCAAGCCTGTCCGGGTCCCGGCTGCAGCTTTACTCCAAATATGCACATTCCTGGAAGCTAAACAGCTGCAGGTAGTGGGGTTTGGGGGAGCAAGAAGAACGCCCCCGAAGGAGAGCTGGCATCGTGTATGTAATTGCTAACCCCGTCTCAAGGGATGTTTTTCTCCTCTGGGCCCTGACATCCTGCATCTCAGGTCCTGTTGGACAAGATATTTCGTAGTGGGCTCTGCTGGGGAAGTGATCAGAAGGTGCCTGATGAACCCCATCCCCACCCAGACATAAACTTACCCACCAAGGGAGGTTCTTTGAAATGGCTCCTTTCCAAAGACTGAGGGACGGCCCAGTCCCTGGCAGGTTCATGTCAGATACCACTGATGCTGTTATCAAAAACCCTAGGGCCAGGTCCCTCTGTTCCCATTTTCACCTCCCCCAAGAAACCAGGACTTGAAACTTTCTAAGAATTCAGATTCTTTTTTTTTTTTTTTTTTATTTACGAGGAATGTATATTGGAAGTAGCTGTTATCAAGGGGCACATAAAAGCGGAATCATAAACTGGACTGCAGTCATCACCATGGCACCCAAGTCTGTGCTCTTGGGCTCTTCCTGACTCTGCTCTTGGAGTCACAACCAAGACTCCAAAAAACCAACAAAGTCCCTTTAACGTGAGTAAAGGAAATAGCTTTAAGCATTGACAATTTTTACAAGTGATTATTCAAGGAATGCACAGCAGCCACAGTTCAGACAAATCAACTACAAAAAATCATTAAAAAGAAAGAGTGGGGAGGGGTGCTGCTTATTTAAAACAAAAGACTGGACAAAAAAGTGAAGATAACAGTGGGCGGAAGCGCTGCCTCCTCTGTCCTGTGTGACTCAGAGGGGCAAAGGGGCGCGGGGGGTGAGCGACCAGACATGGCTCATGTCCAGCAGACGTGTGGAATTCAGGGATGCTTTGCTCTCTTCCTACAACAGAAACGGAATACTACAGGCTTGCTAGATAAGATCTTGGGGGTGAGTGGGGGTTCTGATCTTGTGGGAGCCTATGTTCCCAGTTAAAGAAGAGGCAGCTGGCCAGAGCTCTGCTGGAGAATCTAATGCCCAAGACGGACCAGAGGCCAAACATTTGGAGGACTCAGTCCTTCCAATGCTGAGAACCACAGACCTCTCTGCCCTGGATGTGGATGCCAAGACTGATCTACTGCGCCCCCAGCAGACTCAGAGCCAGGGAGCAGGCCTCTTCCACCCCAGGAGACAGGTGTCATTTCCCTACCAGTTCCTTGGGACGCTTTGGTGTTCTGCAAAGACATCCTTAGTCTATTTTTAAAACTTGGGTTTTCTTATTTTGGTCAATTTTTGGTCAGAAGTACAGAGGGTATAGAATAAAAGCGAAGATGTGAATGTCTCTACCATTGAACAGGGGGTGACCTCGTCAGCAGTTTGCAGGGAAATCAACTGAGGGCGCTGGCTCAGCACGTTCCCAGATGAAGGTCTGTCATCTAAGGAGAGAGGCAGGCTCAGGTCCTGAAGGTGACAGAGCCTCGGTAGTCCTCCTGAGTGTGTCTAGCTGACTGTTACCAAGGGACACGTAAACGCAGAATCAGAACTGGCCCACAGCCATCATCATGGCACCCACGTCTATGCTTGAGCTCTTCCCCACTCTGCTCTTGCAGTCATGACCAACACTCAAAAAGCCAACAAAGTCTCTTCAACCTGGGTAAAGGAAATAGCTTCAAGCATTGATAATTTTTACAAGCGACTATTCAAAGAATGCACAGGAGCCAGAGAACCAGACTCCACAGAGAGGCTGACGGCTCTGACCACACAAGTCAAGAATCAGTGTTATGTGGAGGTGTAGACAAAGGATTCCACCTCACAGAGTTTGAAGACAGCCTGCCCTTTCACCACTACTGCTTTCTATGTCAGCCCTATGAAGATCAGGTCTTCACCCTGCCCACGAACCTACTTCTGAAACCACCTGGAAAAATCAAAGCACTTGGATAAATGGAAAAGTATGCTTGAATTTTAAATCTGCTCAATTATAGGTTATCTGTAGCACTTAAGAATCAACATCTATGGCATTCTTTTAAACACTCCTAATTTACATAGGACTTACTCAAATTTCCTTGGTATCACTGTCATGCGAGAGATTATGCCGGGTGAAACAGTGATGTGAGCCAACATGATTTTTTTGCCTTTATTCTCACTAAGTCATGATTATCTGAGCAGAGATGATTTTATACCCTCTAGGATTTGTCCTGGATTTTTCCTACCAGTTGGCTAGGGTGTACATCCAGCACCGGCAGGGCAAATTCCTAGGAATGCTTTAGGGGAAGAGGCAGCTGGAAGCTTGGCAATATTCTAAGGAATGCCTGTGCTCCCTGGGAAGTGGTCTGTGTCACCCTGCAGGGTGAAACCTCAGCTATTGCTCGGGCAACTCCCTTAACCCAGTCTGGCTGGTTCTAGGCTTCCCTGCTGCTGGGGGAAGGGATGCACTTCGGGAAGCAGCTCTCCTTGCCTTGCCTGCCCTGTGGCTGGCTAAAGTGCAAGATGGGAGGATGGCTGGGCATTACCTGCAGGTTCCAGTCACCATGGCATGCACTGGTAACTGTAGTTTTAAACTCCTCCCCTTGCAAACGTTTCATCAAATCCTTTAAGTTCATCTCTTTACCCTCTGAGGGGGAAACGGAGCAATTCTGATCACAAGGAAAGAATCTCAGAAGAGGAGGAGGGGAAGTAGTGGGATCTGCGTAATCCACAGATGACATTGTCAGTCCCTGACATGATCCAGAGTTGACTGAAACCTAATAAAGGCCACAAGAGGTCAGTGTAGCAAACACAAAGGGAAAGGAGATGGGAAAAAATCTAAACAAAACTTTTAAGAGGAAATGGACAGCAGGTGCTCAGTGACTATGTCCGTTTTGGGTAGAAAGAAGAGATAACTTGTTAGGTAGCTCTGCCTCTTCACTTGGGGAAGAAAAGGGGGGCCTGGCCAGACCTTGCCTAGCAATCCCAAAGTAGGATAAATGGGAACCCAAAGTTTTCAGTATCACCAACTATGGCTTAAAAAGAAAAAAAAAAGAGAAAAAAAAAATCCCCTGACCACGTGATAAGGAATG